AATCGTCCTCATACCAGTATTCCAGCCCTCGTACAAACATGACATTCACAACTAACAATATTCTCATGCCACATCGGCCGTCGCGTGGTACCGTCAGCCGGGTCGCCTTACTTGCTGTATACAACAGGGCGGGTAAGCGAAAACATGCTACTGCTGACTCCCCCTTCTTACACTTTCACGCCTTCCGACTTTCATCCCCCCTCCCAAATTTGAATACTTTCTCCGCAGGTCCCAGCTCTAGGACTGACCGTTTTGCTCGCCCTGCATCACACTCAGCTGTACGTCCGAGTTCAGTTACAACCCTAAACACTTGGAAGTCTGTTTCCAAACCCCGAAAGCTGTCTACTTAGCCAACATCTGTGAGAGAATCTAGAGGAAGTGAGGTTCATCGCACCTTGTTTATTGTGTCTGCTCACGCCCCAACTGACTGTAGCTGTGAATCTGCCAAGGGCAGTTTCTATGACGTTCTAGGTGCCCTTCTACAGCGGGCCAAAAGCTCAGATATCGTTGTGGTTGGTGGTGATGCGAATGCCCAGTTAGGTAGACTTAGCGCTGCTGAGGCCCGATTGGGTGGTCGTCTTGGCCTGGACACGAGACGCACGGACAACGGAGACCGCTTACTTCAAGTGTGTGCCGATCACAGACTGTTCCTTTGCACTACGAATTTCCGGGACAGTGAAAGTCGCTTGGCAACGTGGTGCCCACCAACAAACCAGCGCCGAATCCAACTAGACAACATCACCGTCAGTTATCGATGTCGACCGCCTGCCGCTCCCTTGGGACACGAGCGTGAAGTCCGACCATGCACTTGTACGCTGCTGCTTTTCATTGCGTTTTTCAGGTGTACGCAAATCGCGCACACCTTGCTTAGCCATTGAGAAGCTAGTGGATCCAGAAGCGCTGCTCAAAGCCGGAACATCTGTTTGCGGTACAAGCCAGCCAACCTCATCCAAGCATTGAATCTCTGATAGGACCGTGTCTTTGCTGGAGACCCGGCGACAGATTCCTCCTGGCCGCCACCACAACTCCACCCAGCGCATCATTCGCCGCCAGGTGAAACAGTGTCCGTGCAGACCGAGAAGCCTGGCGGACCCGAAAGTTCGAAGAAATGGAAGATGCAAAGAATGCTGGAAGCGTGCGCAAACTGTTCCACTTGATTCGTTCATCTGGTCCTCGGAAACCTCTTGTCAGCGAAATAATCAGGTACCAAAATGGCTCCATGATATGCAGCAAGACAGAACGTTCGGACCGCTGGGCACAGTAATTTGAGCAGCAATCCAGCTGGCAATCTGCTACCTCCAATTCAGAAACCCGTCTTTCAACAGGAAGGTGGACCGTAAATATGGAGCCGCCTTCAGTCTCAGAAGTGTCCGAATGTATTTCTCTACTCAAGCGTCATCGTGCTGCTGGTCCTGACGACCTGCTCTTTTCAAGGATGGTGATGGATTCCTCAGTCACTGCCTGTCTAGCCTATTTGGGTCTATCTGGGAGAAGGAGACCATCCTAGACAACTGGGGTGGATCGATAGTGGTGCCCATTTTCAAAAAGAGCACTCAGGGAATGCAGCAACCACAGAGGTGTTAGTTTGACGCCTGTTGTGACAAGGCTTCTGGCGTCGCTGATTCTTCGTCGTCTTACGGTGGCGCGTGAAACCTTGACTCGTGAGAATCAAGCGGGATTTCGACCGTGTAGAGGCTGCGTTGACCACATCTCCGTCAGGTGTTAGAGCAACGCCACATGTACAGACGACCCACAATCCTGGTATTCCTTGACTTCAGGGGTGCGTTTGATTCTGTCTATCAGTCAGTGCTGTTAACTACACTTGTTCAACAGTGTATGCCCCAGAAGTTTGTAAACATAATCCGATCTCTATATTCACATACTTCTGGGCGGGTGAGAGTGTATGGTGAGCTCTCCAAAAGCTTACCTACAAAAAGTGGTGTCGGACAAGGATGTCCACTCTCTCCATTCTTGTTCAACTTCGTAATTGACTTGTTGTTGGTGAGAGGCTTGTCGATCTGGAGTACACAGATGACATCGCCCTCATCTTTGAAGACCAGAGAGAAGCACAAGCCCTGTTGAATCGACTGCCCACCATCACGCCATTTTTGGCATGTGCCTTGCACCTTCAAAGTGCAAAGTCCTGCTTCAGAATGTGGCCTCTGTGAACATATCCCTTGCAATTCAAGGAGAATCACTGGAGATTGTGGAAAATTTTACATACCTCGGTAGTTGTATTAGCTCTGACGGAAGTGTGTTTGATGAGGTCAGTGCAATAATCTCAATGACTCGCATAACGTTTGCGTCACTTGTGGCGTCAAAAGGGCGTCTTACGGGATCTTAAGGGTAATGTGTATCAGGCTAACGGTCATGTGCTACGCATGCCGAAACACCGTCTACCGAGACTAGTGTTGTTCTCCGTGCCTCCTTCAGGATGGCGCAAACCGCCAGGTGGACTGCACATTACTTGGCAGGAAGGCGGGAAAGAGATCATGAAGAGTTTTGGTGTTGTACACCTTCCATGATGGAGTCCCCGTGACCCCGTCTGTACTTGGCTGGAGACGTTGCAAGAAATGGCGGCTAATCGATGTCAGTGGTGTTCGTGCTGTCAGTTTCCTTCCATACTGTCTGAGCGGTTGGAGGTGTAGGCACTTCAGAATACTTGACATAGGCCAGCACTAGGCCCCTTCCCCCCACCCACTCTTCTCTTTTTTGAACCTTATGGTTTTACGGCAGTAAAGCATCAGTGGCAACACTGATGTTGCTGTCTTTGACGATGATGAAGGCGCAAACTTACTGACCAGAAGGGCCTTTGCACCTAGGCTCGGGCAACCTGACAGCATCTCGGCCCTCGTGCTTATTTCGAGTGGCATGGCAGGTAGGTAGCTGAATGATTATTAGATCCAGTGTTAACAGTTTACAGTAGCACCTCGTTGGTGGGCAAAGGTCACTTTGAAAGAATACATGATCCTATGATCCACATTTAACTTTTGATGAATATAATAAATTCGAAAGCATCGCCAAGCCTACAATGTCACGTACAGTTTGGCCCCAAACTTTAGACTAACCAGTTTGCTATACTGTGATACCGTGACCTATAAGTGCCCAGTACTAGTTTCAGAGAACATTTTCGAACGTTAACTCAGGTGATTGGGCGTTCTTACACGGTACTTTGTGCTTACATATTTCGACTTTTTAAACTCAATAATTGTATGGTACGAGGGAAAATTATGAAAGCAATGGAGTGTGATTTTTGGCATCTTACGTGCTTGGTTAACTGACTCGATAAAATAGTTGCCTGCACCAGCCTTCAACCAGACAACGTGGATTATGAGCATATATACATAAACACAAGCCAAGTACGAACTCCGTGAATAAATCAAATACCCTGTGATCAAAAGCGAATGAACGTAATACTATTTACCAATTTTCAGACGTTTTGCCAATGGTTTTGCTTACCTCAACATCATAACCATCTGACTGTGAATTATCCAGGTATTTGCCACTTTCGAACTTTTCGTTCTCGATCTTAGTTATCCATTGGGGCGAGCTGGCTTTGGGTTGAGCACGAATTTACTGACCGGAAGGTCCAACCTCTGCCTATCGACTTCCCCTGTCTAGGCTTGAGCAGCTTGGCAGTATCCCAGGCCTCGTGCTTCCTTTGGGTGGCATGGCAGCTAGGCACTGAAAGGGTGTTACAGCTGAACGAGTATTATTATTATTATTATTATTATTACTATTATTATTATTATTACTGTAGGTCGCAGAACGGCACTGAATATACGACCAGAATCGCAGTTGCAAGTACTAGTCGGACTTTCTCAGGCGTCGTGTGAGTATGGGTCATCGGTTTTAAAGTTGCTCACTTATTCTGAAGCATAGCACTAGACGTGAGCACTTCCATCCACCTACCTGTACCCGGCCTATTTATCGTATACACTGATTTGTTCCTGGCGTTATAATAGATAATTAATTGTTCAGTTGTAACATCCCTTCGGTGCCTAGCTGCTATGCCATCCGGAAGGAGCACGATGACTGAGATACTGCTAGTTTGCCGAAGCCTAGGCAGGAGACTTCAAGACGTAGATGTCGGGTTCGAATCACGGACCTTCCGGTCAGTAAATTTGTGCCACCTCACTATCTTGGCGTCTTTGTGATAAAGGTGACGACATCTTTCCGTTTGATTGAACGGCACTGAATATACGACCAGAATCGCAGTTGCAAGTACTAGTCGGACTTTCTCAGGCGTCGTGTGAGTATGGGTCATCGGTTTTAAAGTTGCTCACTTATTCTGAAGCATAGCACTAGACGTGAGCACTTCCATCCACCTACCTGTACCCGGCCTATTTATCGTATACACTGATTTGTTCCTGGCGTTATAATAGATAATTAATTGTTCAGTTGTAACATCCCTTCGGTGCCTAGCTGCTATGCCATCCGGAAGGAGCACGATGACTGAGATACTGCTAGTTTGCCGAAGCCTAGGCAGGAGACTTCAAGACGTAGATGTCGGGTTCGAATCACGGACCTTCCGGTCAGTAAATTTGTGCCACCTCACTATCTTGGCGTCTTTGTGATAAAGGTGACGACATCTTTCCGTTTGATTTGTTCCATTCAGCTGTACAATCATGTTCGCCAGCTTCTTGATGTCTTACCGTCTGTAGTGCATTACGGTGATACCGACCCGTTTAGCATTACTACGATGTGTTTACTATTCTCTAGCTGTTTGCTTGTCAGCATGACTTGCCAGATTTAGTCGCTTCCAACGTAATTATGACATGTAGGGTTGTAAGTGTACCCATCTCATTCTTGGCTTGATAGCACTATCTAAACATGGATGGCCCGTCAGTATCTCAACGTCGCCTTGTGTTTCGCATGTAAGCTTTGCGCCGGTGATGTATCATGGATGAGTGGCTGGCTTTAGGTTAGATAGCTTATTACACCACATTTTTCGCAGATACATTTTAATCAAACCCACCCTTCCCTATCTCTTACTTCAGAAAAGCTTTGGAGATCGATCCTGCATGTGCTGAAGCCAAACAAGGATTGATGCAGACCTTCACGGATGATGACGACCCCGAAGCTGCGCGCAAGCGTGCGATGAACGATCCCGAGATTGCATCCATCCTGTCTGATCCCGCCATGCGACTCATTTTGAGCCAGATGGAAGACCCCACCGCCTTGCGCGAGCATCTAAATAATCCAGAAATTGCGTCGAAGTTAATGAAGTTGATAGATGCTGGCTTGATTTCTTTTCGGTGATTCGGATACGCTGGTATATTATGGTGATGTTACTTCCTGATGTCAAGACTTTCTTACAAACTGTGGTAACTGTTACCGTTCCCTCGCATTGCATCGAAGTGCTGTCGCAAAGTTCTTGCAGTTTTCATATACCATACCGATGAAATAAATTCACTTCCAAGATCAACTCCTTCGTTGTAATTTCTGGGTTGGTTTTTGGAGCGAGTTGTTACAATTCTTAGTAATTGAAGTCAGTAATTCTTTAGGATAACGGAATCGCAACGCAAGTGGTGAGCTTCATTAGGAGCTTAAACTACTCCAGTCAGATTGCGGTAGGGCTTGTGAGTTCCGGGTTGCATGCCAAAACAATTTTGTTGACGGATACCGTCAACCCGCCTTCGTTAGGCAGGGGTGCTGAGTAAAGGTGGATCAACAAAAGTAGAAAATATCTCGGCGAAATATACTTATTTGCCTCAACTGGATTCCCGTTGGGTCTCTCGTTCATGCTTTTATTCGGGTGAATATGCTGCCCGATGACAATCCCATTTTAGGTTTTTAAAATGTACATGTGCGTAAAGTTGTTTCAAGCTTCTCAGCAGCCCGTAGCTGGTTCCGCCCTTCCTGGAGCTCATCAGGTAGACACATTCCCCGAGTCCCCGTCAGTCCTATGTTCTACTCGAGCACAAGTTGCACGAAATTCGCCAGGTACCCTCATTTGCCTGCTAATTTGGTTCCGACCGGAATAGCACGATCCCAGTCCTCTCGTTTATGCTGTTCTTTAACTAGATGTATACAAAGACCGCCTCATGTTTCGGTTATGCGAGTTACTGCGGTTCATTTTGTTGATGAACCCACAATTTATTGTTAACATAGAGCATATCTTTGACGGAAACCTGATGAGCCCCGAGAACGGCGAAGCCAGTCGTAATCGAAGGGCTTTTAGCAGCCTTGAGTAGTATGTTGTTTAGAAAGTGTTTTTTTCCTTTTGGAGGTCTGGAGGTAGCGCTCCGCATGAAGGACCAGAAATATGTGGACAATGGATTGTCTTGGTCACCGATACAAACAGTATGGTCTGATTGCGCCATCTGACCCTGCCGACCTGGTATCTCCAATTTTTGCGGAAGATTTCGCCCTACGAGCGCTAAGTATGGGGATATTTTTATCTGATTTAGCTTTACTATGTTGTCTTAGTCCGCCGCCGACTCGTTTGGGTCATTGTAGGGCAGTGGTTTCGCATCGTTGGACACGGCCACCGAGTGAACAAGTTCAGTCTCGAAATTGGCAAACACTCAGCCCGCGCTAGCTAAGTGAGAAAACCTCAGTATTAGTAAACAGTGGAATGACAGACAATGGCGGTATATGCGCGATATGACAACACGGGTGGGAACAGCCCCGAGGGACTTCGTGTCGTGCAGGTTCCCTTTGAGCTCGAAGGTGATAGTTATGGTCCTAAAGATCGACGGAATAACTTAACCGAACAGTAACTGTTGCTACCACCCATTGCGTACGGGAACACAGCGGCAAGGTGGATGAAGTTCAGAAGTAACCGAATGATACAACTAACAACCCCAGATATTGGTGACTGAAATACTTCTTCAAATTGACACTTGTTGCGGATGTTTCGTCACCAGTCGAAGTTGAGATCAAGAACTGAATCGTAAAACGTCGCAGATTTGCAGGTTCAAACGGCGGACCAGCTAAGCGAAGTTCACGGGGTACGAGTCAGAGTTCAAGTTCGAAGGACGTCAACCAATCAGAACACGAGTGAAGGACTCTGCCAATAGGTTACTCATAGGTACATCCCCTTAAGAAGCAAGTGTGCAAACTCGGCCGCACTACTAATCGACACACTACTTCCCTGCGCTGCAAAATAATGCAGTGATGATGCGAGCATGACCTCGGTCGGTGATGGTTGGTTCAGCGAACGAATCTACCGCAAACTGATCAAACTAATAAAATTCTCTTTTGTACAAAACCCCGGTTGTCCGATTCATTCCTGAGCAAAGCGAAGTTTCACACCGCTGGTCTTTGAATATCAGAGCAGAAGCTCTTCCAAGAACAACTCAATGGTTAGGTTAACAAACAAAGGGTGAAGAGTTACTTCTTTCTCTAGGAAATTTCACTGTCGTCCAGCATTATTGTGCTGGAGTATCGAACGTCGTGCGACTGATGACCAGCCGGCCCGAGAATATTCCATTATGAAGTCGGACAATGGACTTGGTAACCCGTACCTCAGAAAGAAAACAGCAAAATTCTTTCGAAATCGTCTTATTTTCTTTGAAGGTGACGCGCGACAGGACTTCTCAGTGGAGTGTATTTTATGTAATGCACAGACCCTGTCCTGTTGTAACCCCACAAAGACGAGTCGGTCGTAGAACTCTACCGAAAGTAGTAGAAACGGCCATTATAATGCGAATTTTCCTGTGGAAGTATGAAGGAAGATTATTTGTGTAGTGGCAAGCGTTTTTGGGACTCTCATGATTACTTGACCAATGCAATTTTGATTACCTTTACCTGATATGTTTGACAAACGCCTTGTGATTTTCTACTACAGGAGAATTAGGTTTGGAGTTTGAATGTAGGTAAGTGAACTGAAAACGATTTGCTTTTGTCCGTATTTCGGTTGGTATTTTAAATCTAACCTGCTGTTTCTCTCGGATCAGTTTGTACGCTGATTCCTGGGTGACCTCTCGAAAATATGACTGACTTAGTTTTCACGCTTCGAAAGGCTTCTTTGTTAGTGAACAAATCAGGTTGTTGTGGAAATGAAATGAACAGTTTGGTTTTATTGTGCAAAAGGAGGTTCACGAGTAGTCACCATTCGCAATTCATTATTACGGAGATGTGCATATTGATTCGAGTTTACGGCTCAACTGAGGTTGTACACATGTAGGTCGTGTCAAATTGTGCAACCTTGGTGTTTTCGGCACACAGCTCGTACGACTTGGAAAAGGTAAACATAATTTGTGTAAGCAAAGGAGTGTTTGTGCCACTTCACTCAGACTGATTTGGAACTCGTGGTTATCAGTGAATCACCACGTTTTCGTTTATTTGACCCACAGTTTGCACACTTTTTTTCGTCATTTTATTCATGCCCATCAGTTGCTAATATCCACCTGTATATAACTTGTGGACTTGGAATCGAAGGTAATTTATTTACTCCTTCAGCCGGCAGTTTACTAAAAACATCTATGCGACTGCCGCTTTGACATTCAGGCGCAGGCTGGTATTAAATGTTGCCCGGATGAAAGCCACAATGACACCGATGCCAGTACTAGCCAAGTTTGCGACACTTTAAGTAACCCCACTCAGATAGAACCGCATCAAATTCTGAGCTAGTTCTTCGAACCGCAGCTGAAGAGGTATGACGATGTAATTTTAAGATGTCTGTGGTTAACATTACTTGGTAGTCGTGATCGATTTATGCTTAAACACTCACTAAGATTTCGTACATGGTTTAGCAAGACCACAGTGAGGCCGCGCTCTCAATGAAAACCATCAAGTGACGGCCGCCGCGTTAACCTTTGTTTATTACTTCCAGACCGTTGACCTGTCTTGTGACTTTTGTGCAGGATGTATGTATGCCAACGGGGTTGCTCCTACACAAAGGGCCACAGTGTTTGCTCACTGCGTGAAAATATGGTGGCACCTCAATTTAGTGAGTATTCGAAGTTCGGGCAGGGTAAATATGCAATATTTCCTCTGTTGCTATGGTATACCTGTAAAGCACTTCGATTTGAGTCTCCGTGCCTTGGCAAGTCCCTATGGTTTATATTAGCTAATGGATAGTACAGATGTGGCCTTGGGTACGGTTGCTTTTCATTGGTCATGTGAGTTCTCATGGTTCCCTGATGGTTAAGACAACAGATCATGAAGTTTTCGAGTCTTAAGTGGTTCCGATAATTTCGGACACCGCGCCACAGGCATGTTGTTGATATTGAAAAGCTTTATAAATGATCAGCGTGGATGTTCAACTCCACGCTTGGGCTACTCAAGGGTGGCCTGTACGTATGCAACCCAACTTATGAGCTTTAAAGTGTTAGCTGTGTAAGCAAGGGCCGAGATGACTCAGTGGTGAGAACACGGATTTACTGGCCAGAAGGTCCGTTTTTTGAATCAGACCCCTGCATTTCGGCTTCTCCTGTCTAGGCTTGGGCAACCTGGCAGTATCCCAGTCCTCGTGCTTGTTTCTGGTGGTATGGCAGCTAGACATTGATAGGGCGTTACGGCTGAACGTTTTTTTGTGTAAGCACATGAGACAAACACATTCGGATGAGGATACTTCCGTCTGTCAAACGGTGAAAAGCGATAGCCAACGATGCAGACGATGGGTCCCTCGGTATTCATCCGATGAGTCCCAATCAGAACAAGCCGCGTAGTTGGTTGCATATTTGGTTTAAAACACACTTGGATATACGGATTTTTCATGACCATTCGTAGTCGATTGGGGTCATGGCATAGGGTTACCTACGAAACCGTGTACCTAGGATGCTGCCGCCTCTCATCGAGATAGAATTTGAACTACTTGCGCCTTCATAATGCAAGTAGCAGGCGATACTGCTGCGTGTGGACATCAGATTGCAAGAGTGAACAAAGCTGGACACGCGATTTATTGTGCTTAGTTTTGAACTTGTTTATGTCTATCAATAATCGTGTTGGCTATGTTGTTGGTTTGTCTACCGAGCTTGTTCATTTGTTTGGAAATTTTCCATCACTATTGGAGAGGGCTGTTGCTTTCGGATAGACTGGATTCCAGTGAGATCTGGTTCTATTTTTCTAGCAAACTCAATCATGAATAACCTGGAGCAGGATACGCTGATCCCATATAGGTTGACGGTGCATGTTTACTAATCATAAAACAACACAGGAACTTATTCTCGGGATTCATCAGCAGCACATCTGTCCATTGCACCTTCTGATCCTCAGACAGTAGTGTTGCAGTGAGACTAGATAAGAAATCTTAGACATTACATTCACCACTAGCTATATTGTGACTCCGTTCAACTTTCAAGTTTCCAAAGCAATAGTGCCCGAATTCTTGTGTACTTGACTGTGTTCTAGCGTGGTGAAATGACCAATGTGTATGACCAGTTCGTATTGTAGGATCCTGGAAAATAATGTTCTATAACCACCGCAACTGGTCACGAATGCGCCTAAACTAGCCATGCAAAAAGCCTTGAGTCCACACG